ATCCTAAAAGTAAATTCCTTTTAGCTAGACAATTAAGTCCCTTCTCACTAATATGATTCAGTCTCTTGTGCCATAATTCTGAGGAGCTGTCACTTTCAACTGCATTAACAAGATATGTAGAGATTGAAGCTTGCAACCAATATAAGCCCAAAGCCTTTTTTGCTCTACCTACAACTAAGGAACTTTATTGAGGTTACATTGTCCATCATTAAAAGTGTTGCAATAGCCATCATCATCAAGCTTACAAGTGGAAATCAAATACAACCTAATGTTTGGAGCATGTCGACATTCTTGTGCTCTAACTTTGTTCTATTTGTTCCTATCACCTTCGACACTCCATCATTACCCATCTTTAAAATCCCAAAATCACATGGAGGATAAGATGTGAAGAATTCATTCTTTGATGTAACATGAAAGCATGCACCACTATCAAGAACCCAAACAGTATCATCATAGGCTACATTAATCGTATTCTCTTGATAAATTGTAACCAAATCATCATTTGAAGTGGTAGTGGCAACACGATCGGTATTGTTGTCATTTCCCTTCTTTTCTTGCTTTCCTTTGTCTACTCTGTTCTCTTTCTTTCACTTGTAACAATATTTCTTGATATGCCATGTTTTACCATAATAATGACATTCAAGGTTATTGTACCTTGATTTTGATTTACTCCTACTCTTGCCTCTATTCTGATCTTGGCCCTTATTTTTACTTCTCCCCCTATTTTTAGTAATCAAAATTTCTAACTGTGACTTAGATGGCCCCTGAGTTCTTCTTCTCATCTCTTCATTCAAAACGCCAATCATTACGCACTGTATGGTTATAACAGCATTAGGAGCATAATTAGTCAAAGATATACGAAAGTTTTTCTATGAGTTAGGAAGTGTAGTCAACAACCAAAGTCCAATAACATCTTCATCAAATTTGATACCCATACCAGACAGTTGATCAAAAATACCTTAAAATTCATTCACATGATCAAGTATAGAACTACCTTCTCTATATTGTAAGCGTATAACTTGTTTAAGCAAGAATAACTTATTGTTTTCAATATTTGAAGCATATAAGGTTTCAAGCTTTTCCCGCAAAATTTTGGCATTTGTTTCATTAGCAATATGATTCAACACATTGTCTTCTACCCATTTTTGAATAAAACCACATACTTGTAAATTCTCAAATTCTCAATCTTCATCGGATTTAAACTTAGGCTTTTAAGAAGCAAACACAAGTAAATGCATTCTTTTCACAACAAGAAGATCCCTCATTTTTCATTTCCACTTGTAATAATTTGTGTTATCCAAATAAACTATTTTACTCACATTCACCTCCATCATTCAAACAAGCAAACGAAAATCCACAATCAACTAATGAATTAGTGAACTAGGCTCTGATACCACTTGTAGGGAAGTACTTGAATGAATTTATAAGGAGTAAAAACTAAGTAAAAATTTAAATAAAATAAATATGATAAAATCAGCCACAAGATGCTAAAAAACAATCAGACAAAGACACCAAAATTTTTAACGTGAAAAATCCATTCAATATGAATGATAAAAATCATGGGACCTCTCTTGATCCAAATAAAAAAGAGCTCCATTATAAAAATTAGTGTTTACAGTAACAATAAGCAACAATTATAATCCTCAAATAAATACTCAACAACAAATCAATCGAACAACAAGAAATAAACAAGGGAATGAAGAAATATTACCAAAGCATCTACTGTTCATGCAAAACGGAAGTGTTTTGATTGTTTAAATTCGATATTCACCGTTTAGATTAAAGAACAACTTATCCCAAATATGTTCATCAACTTTCAGCTTCATCAGACTGCAAATGACAGTCGGATTGTTGGAGAAAATTAAACTGGTCAGTGTAGAGAAGAAAAATGTGAATATTAACTTCGAACTAAAAGTACTGAAATCCAACCGTCGAAAATCAATCTTCACCATTTCCAATGAAGAACAATGAGTCTTCTAAATATTCACCAAATTTCAGCCTGATCCGACTAAAGATCATCGTCTAATCGAAAAAGAAGCAAAACACATCGAATGTAAGTTTCTAGCAAAATTTTTTTTCTCTGTTTACTTTTTATTTTGATAGTTAAAAATTTGTTTTTATACTATTTTTTAGGATTAAAGTGATATACAAAAAAAAAATTTAATAAATTTATTTTTATACTATTTTTTTATGGTTAAAGTGATAAACTTAAAAAAAAAATTAATAACTCTAATGAATAAAAAAAAATAAGTAGACTAAAAATCATTTGGATTTTTAGAACGAAACCCAAAACCCAACAAAATTTACTCAAATTTACTCCTCATTTTCATATTAGTTTCTTTCCCTTACTCTCGCCTTCTCTCTCTGTCTTTCTTGAGAGTTCCCACGATCTACCTTTCTCATATGGAAGCTGCAGCCGAGCTCTACGTAACAAGCTCTAACAATGAATATGGCGACAAACCGGAAAGATGCCGCGAGCGCCGTCGCCGGCGGATTAACATCATGAGGAAGCAGAAGTCCGAGTCAGTCGACCACAGTATAGCACCGATAGACTATATCGTTCATCTACCCATGAGTAGCTCAGAATTCAGGCATAAAGAATCCAAATTAAGCTTCGGACCGAGTGCCGGCGACATCCCGTGGATGGTGGTGCCTGAGATAACGATTCATACACCGAAGGAGACGGAGGAGGAAGTGAACGTGGTCTCCGGGGGGATCCTGGAAGGAAAACAATCGTCGGTCTCACCAATTCTTTTGCTTGTCCCGAATCCAGCACTTGTGGATTCGGGAAAGGTATCGATTGATTTACCCAATAGGGTGGCGATGACATCGAAAACAGATATGCCAGAAGTGGGTGGAGAGACCTTGATGGTGTCAGCGGAAAGGATAATGTTCCGCCATCTAACGGCAGAGTTGTCCCCGTTCTCCCGGTGGTCTTCGCGGGACCGGTTGGAGAACCACATGCCAGCTTATGGGTCAATATCAATACAAGGGTCTTCAGACAATATAGACGATGCATTGTTCGTGAAGGAAGATTTTTGTGGACCAGATAAAAGTGGTGGACAGCCTCTGCATTTCTTTGCTTTGTACGACGGATGTAAGTAATTCGCACCTCTAATTTCTTTCATTTCATTTATTTAAATTTAAAACCAACAGTTTCTTTCCGGTCTAGTGATGAATCCCCAAACCATTTGTAGTCTGATGTGTATATCTTACATAAGCAGTATTTGCACAACATGGATTTTTGTAACTGTTAAATTTAGAGGGTTGCTTTCAATGAAGCTCTGTTTTCCGTCGAGTACTGGGCAGAGATGGTTTTGTCTTTATCCCACATTGAATGAACTGGCTAATAAGTTAAATGTCCAGTTTGTTTTGTTTTGTACCCATTCACAGCGAAATCCGGGCAATCTAACTGAAACGCTTCGAAATCTGGGAAAAAAATGCAGGTGTCGACGCCGTGGAAGACTATGATGCCGACAATCATAGCTGAGGAGCTGAGGTGGGTTTGGAACGAGAAAGGAGCGGCTGCAACGACGTCGTCTGGTGATATCAGGAGCTACAGCATTGGCGGCACTAGCACTGGCTCCAACTTACTGAGGCTTCCTGAGGAAGAGTGGGATTATCGGGTGCGGTTAGTTTTAGATAGGAGCTTTAAGAGGATAGATCGGTTAGCTAGAATGATGTGCACGTGGTCGGAGAGGGGTGCATTTGCATCTGCAGGTGCAGCAGGTTCGTAGGATTCACCTCCGGAGGTTCCACCGCCACCGTCGCCATCCTCACATCTCATCGTATTGTGGTGGCCAACTGCGGCGACTCGCACGCCGTCCTGTGCCGGGCAGGAAGAGCTGTTGTTTCTTAATCTGGCTCTGAGTTTTTTGTTGAATTTGGATGAGCGGGCTGCAGCCGGGGACGGCCGGCGAGCTGGAGAGGATTCATGCTGCGGGTGGGAATATTTTTTCTCATGACGGAGTCCAGGTTTACGGAGCTCTAAACATGCCACATTCATTAGGTACCATAATTACCTTCTTTTTTTTTTATCAGCATAATTACCTATTTATTAATGGTTTAATTAGTTTAGTTTAAGTAGCAGGGGAAAGTCTTCTAGAGTCAGCAGCAAGGTCAGAGCCAGAAGTTTCGATAACAGAGAGAGAAGTAGAAGATGAGTTTCTGATTCTGGCTTCTGATGCTGTGTGGAAAGTAGTCCCCCGTGATTTGGCATGAAGGATTGTGCGTGCATGTCTCACCACCACTGCTTCTGCTTCTGATTCCCATGTAAGTAGAAGCTCATCCAACCATATAGCTGATATGGAGGAGGAGGGTGCGACTTACGAGTACTTCCAGTCGAAAAGTGCTTTTGCAGCTGCAATTCTTGGCCGTCTGGCTCTAGCACGAGGAGCCAACAACACCATCACCGTCCTTGTTATTGATTTCAATCTTGTTCTATTAAATTAGAGTTTCAGACATATATGTTGAGGGCGGAGAATAATTTTGCTGCCTTTTTTGCTGGCCTAGACTTTGTTTAATTAGCTGCCAAATTTAATTAATCAATCTTAATAATTAATTTTAATGAACTACTTAAACTATAGATTAACACTTTGGTCACAATAATTATTATACACTGAATTAGTTCAAATTAGTTGTTGATCAATATATACATGATTGATGCATTTTAAATTTTTTTTAAAAAAAAAAAAATTATAAAAACAAAATTGAAACATATCTTTTACTCTCATCTAGTTTTACAAAGCACCTAATAATTTTTCATTTTATGGAATAAAAGACATGAATTAAGCTCTTTCTAGTTTGATCTGAAAAGCAAGTGCTTTATTCACTTTTAAGACTGAATGTGTTAAATAAATAAATACTGGCTTGTAAAATTATTTCTAATTTAGTTCAAAAACCTTAAAAATTAATAGAAATATTATTAAATTCAATATAATTTCTTTATATTAAAAGAAAGTACATTTTATTATCATCACGAAGCCCATTAAATCCAAACCATGATACGGCCCAGATGAGTGAGTCGCGAGTTAACTCTAGCTGACTCCCGATTCCTCTCTTTTCTGGCGATTTTTTTCTTCGAGTGCCAACGAATTCGACCGACTTATCCCATCACGATCGTCCATTGGATGGACTTTGACCAACATGTCGACCCTCATCGGGATCCGTGATGGCGCCTCCATTGGCGCGGCGACGGCAGCCCTCGTTTCCGACGGACTATACTCTCCGGCGAAGGAGAAAGCCGCGAGCAGAGCCGCATACATCGGCCGCTCCCCTCTCTCCCTTCGCCGAGCTCGCCAGCTGGTTGGCGCCTCAAAAGCGAAACTCTTTCTCGCTTTCTGCGGGCTATGCGTCGTCGTTTTCCTCTCTTCCAGGATTACCTCCTTCATGGGCTGGAATCCTCACGATTCATCTTCCGTCCTCTCTCCTTCGAGGTACTTCTTCTCTCTTCATTTTCGCCTTTTTCAATTCTGAAACTGTTTTCTTATAGGATAATAATTATTAAGGATTTAATAGATTCTTATTGTATACAGAGGTGGTTACACAGTGTTAATCAACACGTGGAAGAGAAACTCGCTTCTTAAGAAGTCTGTAGCTCATTACGCTTCCTGCAGAGGTACTAACGCCATACATGTGGTATGGAGTGAGAGTGATCCACCATCAACGAGTCTAAAATCTTGTCTCGAGGACATCGTCTTGTCAAAATCACAGACAGCTCGAAAACCTAACTTTAGGTTCGACATAAATGAGGAAGACAATTTGAACAACAGGTTCAAGCCTGTTGCCGACATCATGACCGATGCTATTTTCTCGGTAGACGATGATGTTATAGTTCCTTGTTGTACTTTGGATTTCGCTTTTGGTGTGTGGCAGAGTGCTCCCTCGGCGATGGTGGGATTTGTTCCTCGAATGCATTGGCTGGATCATGAGGTTTGTTGAGTTTTTCTCTCTTGGAATTTAATTACTCGATGTTGTCTGGAACTGCTTGTTTGCTACTGGAAGTATTCATCGTTGTGTAGTTTGATTGCTTGATGTTCTTTGCAGCTGCTTGTGTGATGTTGGAATTGTTTCTCATTTCTTAGTTACTTATTGCGATGTATGGGAATAATATATTTCCCCAAAGAAGTCAAATGAGGTGGTATAGCGTTCATTTAAAACCATAATGTTGTGCTGCATAAACTGCTCTCCTTTTTTCTTAAATATTCTCTTGCTTTGAGTTTGAAGAATTTATGGTTCTTGTGAAGTAGATTAGCTATAATCATACAGTTGTCTGCCTATGATTGCCTGTCAATCAAAACTCTAATTAAGATGTTTAGAGAATAATAATGTACAATTGAAGATGATGAAGCCTCTTAGCTTTGAAAAGAAAATATCTATTTTGGACTTTGGACTTCTGATAGTGTAATAGGCAAATGTTAGGTTATCCATTGTTAACATTTAAGGAGCCACGTTTCCCCTTTTAGATTTAGATATCATATAGCGGAAGCTGAATGCTTTGAGTTGATATGGAAATTAATTTTTGTTCCAGCAAAACGAAACCCACCTAATAGCTGCTTAATTGTGCTGTGCAGTGGTCTTGAGTTTGATATTGGTTTATGCAAAGTTAATCTTACTAGTCTCATGCCATGAGAATTAAAGGGTTTCCCTTAACAAGAGAGAGAGGTGGTGGGGGTGGGATTTACTAGGGCTATGTGATGCAGAACAAGAATATCTTAATTTGGAATAAATTTTCGATTAAAGAAATCTTTTTGTAGACGTTATTATTTTGATTTTTTAAGTTATTGAGATTTATTTAGACATTAAGATACTTTAACTTACTTTTAGGTAGATTCTAGATATTATAGGAATTAGAATATTTAAGATTTCTTGTTTTAGTCTTTTCCTTATTAATTGAGGCACTATTATATCTTAGTTTCCTTTTAGGTTAATTTTAAAAATTCTATGAATTATATCTTTTAGATTTTCCTCTTTGATAATTTTTCTTATTAATTAACAACTCTTTGTTACAGTGTTATTCCCTATTATCTCTCTTTGTTTGTTCTTCTCATTTTTTTTATCTAACCTATCCTGTTCATTATGCTTCTCCCTCTATTTCTTCTCCTTGATCTCTAATTTCCTCAGGCCTATTTATATCCTCCTGTTTCTCACCTAATTTTTATCTATTTCTAAACTTTCCACAAGGCAAGGTAGTTTAACCGCTACCTGTATTATATCACTATGTTTGGTAGAATTTATCAAAGCCTTGATTACACATGTTCAGGGATGCTTTTTTTGCTTCTGCACCAATTTTGTTTGGATTAAATTAATATTTGAAGTCCTATTATCATGATAGTTTGGATGTGTCATTGTCAAGTTGTTACTTAATCTTTTATGACCATTTTCTGTCCCATTTCTTTATCTGATACAGAAGAATGGTATTGCTTATTATAAATATGGAGGATGGTGGTCTGTTTGGTGGACAGGCACCTACAGTATGGTTCTTTCGAAAGCAGCTTTCTTCCATGAGAAGTACTTGGACATGTATACCAATGAAATGCCTTCGTCAATACGTGATTATATAACTAGGGAGAGGTATGATGTCTGATTCTTTTCTGTAATTTTTTTTCTCTCACTGCCTCCTTTGTTAGTTGTATAGTTTTCCTTCATCCGGCTTCTTCTTTAACTGGAGTTTCCATGCATTGTTATGACACAGAAATTGTGAGGATATAGCAATGTCTCTGCTTGTTGCCAATGCCACATCTGCTCCTCCAATCTGGGTAAAAGGTAGATGGCATTCTCTTTAAATATTTTTTATTCTCTCCCGATAAACCGCAGAGAACTTTGATGCCAATGAGCAAGCATTTTGATTGCCTTATTTAACTCGGAATATTATCGTTCCAGCGGGGCATCATCTTACCTAATATGGATTTCTTGTAAGTAATGAAGAATGAGGAGATTAGAAACAAGAAGCCCTAGTAAACATTCATAAGATGCAGAAATTAGCAACCAAGAGGAAAAAGTTTAACTAGATTAGCCGCTTTTGTTTAACCACAAATTATGGTGTATGCATCAATCTTTAATCTTAACAAGTCTAAATATGGAGCTTATCCGGGTAAATCTTTCATATGAGTTTAAAACCCTCATTTTAGGATTTAGATTGATAAATGTCATTCTTATTCTGGTCATATTTGGTTTATCCTTCATTGTGAACTATTCCACGGTCGATTGGTTGAAACACCATTTACCAATGTTGCAGGGAAAATTCACGAGATTGGATCATCTGGCATAAGCAGCTTGAAAGGGCATGGTGCGGCTAGAGAAAAATGTCTTAATGATTTCATTTCGCTCTATGGGAACATGCCTCTTATATCAAGCAACGTAAAAGCCGTGGATGCGAGACAAGAATGGTTCTGGTAACACGTTTCTCAATTTACGTGATACCTGCACTGACTGTTCGAATTCACCAGTCACAATTTAGTTAATCAGTCAGCTATCTCTGTATTCTTATAGGACGGGTAAACATATTTTTAAGATGTAGATGGTGTTGAAAATTTCTTGATTTGTTTGGTTTTTTATACCATAAAAATTATGCGTACGTATCCTAGAACAAGTTGGAAGATAGATAAAAAGTGATGTTTGACTAAAAACAAGTTGTATTATGCGTTGAGATATTCTAATATACACCACTAATAGGTAGGGGGATGGTTAATGTCACTGAGGCTGCTCCGTGCGACGAGGGAGAGGCCGAGGTACTCTTGACAGCTGGAGATGTAATTTTTGAAGGAGGTGTATATTCTTTAGTAATTAAAATAGATGTAAATTTAGAAATAAAATCAATTTGTTTATAGTTTTCTTCTGAAGAACAAAGTGATGAGATGAAAGGAAATAAGCTGTTGATTGTAGAGGTCATTTAGAAGATTGTGGTTGGCATGGAAAGAACACGTGACGTAGAAAAAGTCTAATGAGCATGCCTTTTCAATATTCTTATGCAACGGATCAAAGGGTTCGTCAGCAAGTTGGAATGCAGTAACAGTTAAAAGAGAGAGAAAAACTATAAATAGGTGAAGTTGACCTGAGAAAATGTAAGGAAAAAAGAAGGGAGAGAATAGCTGGTTTTGCTTTTCCTAATTTTTGTATTTCAGTACCACTTTCAATCATCATTCAAACTTCATGTAAATCCTACGTTTTAAAGTCAAATTGTGTTTTGGGTTTAAGATCTTTTTATTAAAAGTTTCATATAATTTAGATCTGAAACTGTTGAATTCAACATTCAATCATAATTGGATTCGGACTGTCGAATTGGACTTTCATCACTCGAATTGAAAAAATAATAATAATTATAAAATGGTGTGCATTTGCTGGATTCGGACAGGCCACTGAACAGCACATTTCCAGTCTTAAATTGGAAATTAATTAATTAATTAATATAAACATGTCAATTTAGGGTGTCGCGTTCGGATGACAAAATAAAAAATTCTTAATTAAAGAAATTAATTACTACTAGTTATAAAAGTCAAATCTAATGAAAGAAAATCAAAAGTGCATTTACATGGCGTGAATGAAGCACGAGGAAAAACACACCTACTCCACTTTTTTCACCATCAATAACATTTCTTCATAATTTTAAACCATCACCCTTTCGTTTCTTCATTTTCCCCATTTCACCTTTTTATCCACTTCCATCTTATTTGTTAAGCCCAGATTGGTTTTTTTTTTTATTCATCGTTCACCCACTTGATAATTCCTTTTTCTCAAAAGGAAAAAAGTACCTTAAACTTTTTAAAAAAAAAAAAAAAATTCACTTTCCCTTTAATCTACATTTTTCATTTTGAAATTAAAAAAAAAAAAAAAAAAAAAAGAAGAGCCAATCTTCAATAAATACTGAAGCCAGACTGGGAGGGTATCTTGTGACACCATCGGCTGCTCCTCATAATTGTATGGCTACTATTTTGGAAATTCATATATATATATTTAAATTTTATGAATGGCTAAATTGCTACTTAATTTATCCAAAATTTAAATTATCAACAAATACAGAAGAGTAAAAAGATTATTAATTATTATAATATAAAAAATTGTATATACAAATGGAAGTTAATATATATATATATTTTTTGGATTTATTTTTTGACAATTAAAAAGTACAACAAGTACATTGTTTTAAAATTTAATTAAATAATTAATTTTATGATTAAATATTCATTTTCATTTTTTATTTTTTGATTTCATTTTCTTTTTGTTCTTCGATAATATTTAGCAGGCGGTGTGTACGGAAAAGTGGGCAGTGGCTTGGATGCAATGATTTTTGGGCAAAGAGTAATTATCATAAATTCTAAAGATACAAATCATGGCGATAAAATAATAAACAACAAATCAATCTCGCTCTTCACACCAGCTCACCGCCCACATTAATTTAACCCAAAACCAAAACCAAAACCAGACACAAACCAAGGGGTACTCCACTTCATCTTCCTCCTCCCCGCACCTACAGACACCATCACACCGCATAAACAACTAATCAAACACAAATACTTCGCGAATTCAGACACCCAAGTTATTTTCTACCGGTTGCTATTTATTGCATAACGATTCTTTACTTGCCATGCCTTCGC